CAGGTACAGTGCTAAACATCAGTAGAATAAAAATTAAACACATGTCCTCATTCAGAACACGCAAGTTGCATGCAGAGCTAAGCACATAGACCCATGGGCCCATGGGGTAGGAAATCATAATATCACAGTGAATCTTCACATACTTAGGAATGCCCTCAAAATTTACTTAACTCCCCCAGATTTGGGAGGGCAGGTTGATTGCAAACTGTAGTTGGTTTGCTGTGTGCTGGCCTGGGCGGTCCAACTCTCAACAAGGGCAAAGCCCCAGACCCCAGAAGGCAAACCTGGCTCCCTTTGACACAGTTCTCTGTGGTATTTATGTCATTGCTATTTGTAGCATGGAGAGACTCCTTGAGAAGTGTCGAATGTGCCAAATTTAAAATCTCCAAGGTAGCATTTTTCACCTTTAAAATATTCCTAGGTTTTTCCCCAAAAGGCTCCCTATTCATTGCTTTATCCTTTAATCTCATACTGCCACTGTACCTTAGACCCAAAAATGTCTCAAATATGTTTCTGTATTCTTTTAATTTTATTAATTCCACACGCTCAGCACTTTTCTAACTCTTATCTATTTTATAAACCCTCAAATAAATTTAGTCTCATCTTGTTGAAGCTCTTCCTTACTGTGCTGTCATTAGTTAATAATGGGAGAAACCAAGGTTCATACGGTATGTTTATTAACAATACCTCAGATTTACACAAACTCGCTCTTTGAATGAATTTGAGGCAGTTCATACATATTAGCTCATTTTTTTCTCACAACAGCTGGGTCAAGAGACCTAGATTCTATTCTTGGTGCTATAACAACCTTCTTGGGAAAAGTACTTAGTCATTAATTGCCTCATTTCTCAACTATAAAACAAGAATAATGATATGGGGATATTTGTTTCCCCCTCTCCTTCTCCTAGACCTTAAGAATCTCAATAGCTCAAAGGATAAAAACATCTGACATATATCTTGACTTTCTGAACATTAATGAAAAGGTGAGAGACAATATTAGGAATTTGACTAGAAACTGAAATCTGAATTGTAATCTAATCTCTGCTTAACGATGGGTTATTGCCCAGTCTGCCTCTCTGTCTATGTATTGGAAAGTGCGTAGAGATCAAGAGATGATGAGTACTCTAAAAGGTGCCCAATCTTCTAAAGGACACTAATTTGGTCAGCAAAGGTATCTCTAGGAACCATGACATCAGTAAGATTGGATTTGAGGTGAGAACACTCTCAGCTTCTAAAGCTTTATGTTTCTTCCATCTCTCCTCTTTCCCTTACAACCTCCATACTGTGTGTATCAGTTTCAAAATACATACAGATAGAGTCATCCAGACCAAATCCTTGGCTTGTATCCTTGGTTGAATATCATCTCTAGAGTCTTGGTCTAACAATCTCAATCTTTAAAAGTCCTGGGGACAGAAATGTGCCTCTTTGCTGCCAGCATAAATCTAATAAATGAATGGCAAGGAACCTAGACTGAAATAGAACTGGGCTCTTTGATGACACCCTTCAGCCAAGAATAATGGTTTGTATAATGTCAGGCTCAGTCCTCTCATTGCACAGGTTGTAGGCATCTCACCTTTTGGAGGGGCATTGACTTCTTCTCTCTCTTAGTTTACCCATTATTATACAGAAATGGAAGCTCTTCTCTATCATGTTCTTAGACCCTAAAGGCTATTGAAATGTACTTTCTACAGATTGGTAGAGTCAAGCCCCAATGCAATCAATGGGCCATAGATTACTTTCCAGAGGCTTCACAAACTGCATAGGCCCATCAGATAAACACCAGCCCTTGTATGGAGTTAGGCCAGGAGCCAGAAAAAGTCCTCTGAAACTCACCCAAGGAGGCATAAGGAGGCAACAGAATTATTGCATATATTTATATCAATGAATATTATTAAATATTGATACTGAAGAATCATTTAACCATTGATTTCTCCTAATACCCTAAAAGGCTAATGAAAGCAAAATGTTTTTTCCTAGGCAAAAATCCAAGTATTGAGCTTCATACTACTTATTAGCCTGACACTTGGAGCTGGTGTGGATTTTGATTATAAAACCTGTCAGATGACTCCTTTTGAGATAGACCACTTGAGTTACAGATTGCCAGTACCAAACACTGCTTCCTACTGGTTCAAAGTCTCATCGTTTTAGCAGAAGGGCTTAGCTGACCAAACAGTACGTAAGTAAGCTTCCTCTTCCTCATCTTCCTATGAAGAGTAGTAAGGAATATTTTTGCCAATTAGTGAAAGACTCCTGCTGAGGGAATTTAGATAGGCTACATCTTAAGTACATTTAGAGTAGAATAACTGGGCTTACCTATCCAGCTTTGTCTTGAGAAATGCCACCAACAGCCAAAAGATACATCTTCAGCAACTGCGTTCTGAGCGAACGTAATGAAAATGATCCTGACCTAGTGATGATAACATATGTGTAACCAAGTCTAATGGTGTGGAAACTCTGCATGTGCATAAGTGCTAGTGGAAGAGCAGAATGAATACTGTCATAGTCTCCTTACCTGCCTCTATTCACACAAGAAAAAATGATCCTGACCTAGTGATGATAACATATGTGTAACCAAGTCTAATGGTGTGGAAACTCCGAATGTGCATAAGTGCTAGTGGAAGAGCAGAATGAATACTGTCATAGTCTCCTTACCTGCCTCTATTCACACAAGAGCTGCTCAGATGTGGACTAGGACAGAAGCTAGCCTGCCATGGATGGCAATTATACATACTTAAATATTCTTTCCTTAGGAAAAATAAGGAATAGTCTAATCTTTCTTTGGAATACATATTCCAAAACCCTGGAGTCATTTAGGTCATAAGGTCATGAACCATGTCTAGCCTCTCAACCTCTTTTTCTGAAACGAGGGCATCTGAGCTGGGTTGCTTATTTCAGATCTGAACTTACAGCACCCTCTAA